GGCATCATCCTTAATTGTGAGATTTGGACACTCGTGAATTGACTAGCAAGAAACTGGTTAGAACTCACAGCGAGATTCTTGGAAACCCTTGACCTAATTTTGACCATACTTGGACTCGGAAACAATAAACAAATTCCACGGAGTGTATATATAATACACACCCACACGCACTCGGAGTTTCCCTATTCATTCATTTACTCGTTCTTTGCGCCGAAAATCCGAAAAAAGAAATTGTTCTTTTTTATGATTATGACGATGATGACGGCGACTGTGGAGTCGCCACCTGCCGCCGCCTCCCTGGATTTCGCGGGTAATCTGCACTTACTCGCGGATGTGGCCATAGCGCAAGATGAGGCGGAGAAGGCCGCCGCTCTTGACAGGGAAATTCTGTCCCTCCGCCGCGTGGGCGTGGCCGCCGCCAAGCTCGCACGGGAAAAGAGGGTTTTGGACAAGTTTATGGGAGACATCAAGAAGAAAGATTACCTGAAGTTGGCCGCCTCTGTCATGCCCTGGACCCCACTTCCCGCGGCGGGCCACAAGAGGAAGAGAGAAACATCATCACATTCCCCGGAGCCCATAATCATTAATCGAAAAGAAGAAGAAGAAGAAGAAGAGAAACAAGCGGAGAAGAAGAAGAAGAAATTGATCATCAAGATAAAGACTCCTTCCTCGGCAAACAATGATAGCAGCCCAAAACAGAGCACAAAACAGAGGGTTGATGATATCTTTGTCCATCATCAAGGCCCGGCCACGGGCATGCCGGAGAGATTCAAGAATAAGATCCGGGAGCTAGCGGGGCCGGACGCGATAATTGCAGAGGAGAAGCTTCTGATAGAAAAGGCGCTGACGGAAAGCGACACAAAGTTACTACAGGGGAGGCTGACCATGCCGGAGAGGAGCATGGCGGAGAGGGAGTTTCTGAGGGAGGATGAGAAGCGGCTGGTGCGGCTGAAGGTGGGGAACAGACTGGAGGGGATCGATGCGACGCTGATCGACCCGTTGCTGGGGAGGTGGGGGGTGAAGTTGAGGAGGTGGAATATGGAGAAAGGGGTGGGGAAGCGGAGCAGCGTGTCGTACGCCATCAACGATGGTTGGAACAAGGTACTGAAGGCACTCCACTGGGAAGATAAGAAAGGGGACGGGATCGTCGTTCAAGTGTGGAGCATTCGCGTCAATGGACGCCTTTGGGTCGCAGTCGCCAGGCCATAGCTTTGTTTTTAGTCTGATCATACTGGACGACGAGGAAGACGACGACGAAGACCAAACACAGCCATTCATTCATTCAGTCGTTTATGCTTTGATATGACCCTTTAATTTGTGTGGTTTAATTTAAATTGCAGAAACTTTGTTACTGTTGAATTTGCCACGGTTCATCAGACCGTATATGCCTGCAGATGAATTGTAGGGATTATTAATTAATGTGATCATGGGCTTGATGGCACTGCATGCAGTTTTAGTATTGATTGCAATTAGCTAGATTTGGCCTGCAATAATAAATGTCATCTGTGTTGTGCTTAATTAAACTGTACATAACTACTATTGTTGTTCCATGATTCGAAAACTCTAAGCTACTGGCATTATATGCTGCTTCTCTCTATCTCATCTATATCTATTATTTGTCTCTTTTATGTTGCAATGGCAAGGGCAAATCAAATGTTTTCACTTCCATTGTGACTCTCCATATTATT